TGCAGAACGCGAAGAACCAGTGGCATCTACATCTGCGAACGTGAAGAACCAGTGGCATCTACATCTGCAGAACGTGAAGAACCATGGCATCTACATCTGCAGAACGTGAAGAACCAGTGGCATCTACATCTGCAGAACGTGAAGAACCAGTGGCATCTACATCTGCAGAACGTGAAGAACCAGTGGCATCTACATCTGCAGAACGTGAAGAACCAGTGGCATCTACATCTGCAGAACGTGAAGAACCAGTGGCATCTGCAGAACGTGAAGAACCAGTGGCATCTACATCTGCAGAACGTGAAGAACCAGTGGCATCTACATCTGCAGAACGTGAAGAACCAGTGGCATCTACATCTGCAGAACGTGAAGAACCAGTGGCATCTACATCTGCAGAACGTGAAGAACCAGTGGCGTCTACATATGCAGAACGTGAAGAACCAGTGGCATCTACATCTGCAGAACGTGAAGAACCAGTGGCATCTACATCTGCAGAACGTGAAGAACCAGTGGCATCTACATCTGCAAACGTGAAGAACCAGTGGCATCTACATCTGCAGAACGTGAAGAACCAGTGGCATCTACATGCAGAACGTGAAGAACCAGTGGCATCTACATCTGCAGAACGTGAAGAACCAGTGGCATCTACATCTGCAGAACGTGAAGAACCAGTGGCATCTACATCTGCAGAACGTGAAGAACCAGTGGCATCTACATCTGCAGAACGTGAAGAACCAGTGGCATCTACATCTGCAGAATGAAGAACCAGTGGCATCTACATCTAGAACGTGAAGAACCAGTGGCATCTACATCTGCAGAACGTGAAGAACCAGTGGCATCTACATCTGCAGAACGTGAAGAACCAGTGGCATCTACATCTGCAGAACGTGAAGAACCAGTGGCATCTAATCTGCAGAACGTGAAGAACCAGTGGCATCTACATCTGCAGAACGTGAAGAACCAGTGGCATCTACATCTGCAGAACGTGAAGAACCAGTGGCATCTGCAGAACGTGAAGAACCAGTGGCATCTACATCTGCAGAACGTGAAGAACCAGTGGCATCTACATCTGCAGAACGTGAAGAACCAGTGGCATCTACATCTGCAGAACGTGAAGAACCAGTGGCATCTACATCTGCAGAACGCGAAGAACCAGTGGCATCTACATCTGCAGAACGTGAAGAACCATGGCATCTACATCTGCAGAACGAAAACCAGTGGCATCTACATATGCAGAACGCGAAGAACCAGTGGCATCTACATCTGCAGAACGTGAAGAACCAGTGGCATACATCTGCAGAACGTGAAGAACCAGTGGCATCTACATATGCAGAACGGAAGAACCATGGCATCTACATCTGCAGAACGTGAAGAACCAGTGGCATCTACATGCAGAACGTGAAGAACCAGTGGCATCTACATCTGCAGAACGTGAAGAACCAGTGGCATCTACATCTGCAGAACGTGAAGAACCAGTGGCATCTACATATGCAGAACGTGAAGAACCTGGCATCTACATCTGCAGAACGTGAAGAACCAGTGGCATCTACATCTGCAGAACGTGAAGAACCAGTGGCATCTACATCTGCAGAAGGTGAAGAACCAGTGGCATCTACATCTGCAGAACGTGAAGAACCAGTGGCATCTACATCTGCAAAACGTGAAACCAGTGGCATCTACATCTGCAGAACGTGAAGAACCAGTGGCATCTACATCTGCAGAACGTGAAGAACCAGTGGCATCTACATCTGCAGAACGTGAAGAACCAGTGGCATCTACATCTGCAGAACGTGAAGAACCAGTGGCATACATCTGCAGAACGTGAAGAACCAGTGGCATCTACAATTGCAGAACGTGAAGAACCAGTGGCATCTACATCTGCAGAACGTGAAGAACCAGTGGCATCTACATCTGCAGAACGTGAAGAACCAGTGCATCTACATCTGCAGAACGTGAAGAACCAGTGGCATCTACATCTGCAGAACGTGAAGAACCAGTGGCATCTACATCTGCAGAACGTGAAGAACCAGTGGCATCTACATCTGCAGAACGTGAAGAACCAGTGGCATCTACATCTGCAGAACGTAAGAACCAGTGGCATCTACATCTGCAGAACGTGAAGAACCAGTGGCATCTACATCTGCAGAACGTGAAGAACCAGTGGCATCTACATCTGCAGAACGTGAAGAACCATGGCATCTACTCTGCAGAACATGAATAACCAGTGGCATCTACATCTGCAGAACGTGAAGAACCAGTGGCATCTACATCTGCAGAACGTGAAGAACCAGTGGCATCTACATCTGCAGAACGTGAAGAACCAGTGGCATCTACATCTGCAGAACGTGAGAACCAGTGGCATCTACATCTGCAGAACGTGAAAGAACCAGTGGCATCTACATCTGCAGAACGTGAAG